AAGTGCGGAGCGGCTGCTACATGGTCGACAAGACAAATAAATCCCAAATCAGAAGTCAGGGAAGATAGGTTGGGTTGGACAACTTTTGATGCTGATGATGAGCGCGCTCTCCAGGCAAGTTGCGTTGTCTGTGTCCGCCGTCAAGGTGCTCAGACCCCAGCGCGTGTGTGGTTTCCTCGCCGCCTCAGTGTCGCCAGCCAATCAGGGAAGGGGCAGCGTTGATTAGCCCCGAGTGCCGCTCGCGAGGCTAGTGACAAGCCTCGCGCGTCTCAGCAGCGACTCAACGGGGAGTGTGAGGTGGACAGCAAGGCAGCGTGACAAGGCGACAGAGAGCTAGGAGGCATGGACTTCCACAGTACTCACAGGCTAGGCCGAAGGCGGTGTGTAACGACGCCGATGTTATTGTTCATGTCTAAAAAAACACGAGTAAGCAAACGGTCAGGAAAATGAACATGGCGTCCACTACGGGTTACATATACAGGGGACACAGATGAGGAGTGAGCATGGCCTGTGGTTACAGCGTAGAAGGTTCGTGAGGGGATAGTTGCAGTTGGGATTCGTAGTCGTGGGGACAGACGAAGTGTACGGGACGGAGAAATAGAGGGTCGGAGAGGTGGAGCAAGAAGTAAGGGACCACAGGGCTCATCCGGAGGAGTGTCCGGGACCGGGTAATTTGACCTCATGAATTACCGAGGAAGATGCTGGAGGTTGGTAGGTTCCTCCACTTAACTCGCGGATTTTGCGAGATCATCTGACCGATAAGTCGGACGGTGGCCTCGAATACGATTACAGCATCGTAACAGTGAAGGTCCGATATGACGGAGGAGCGAATGCCGAACAGTACCAGGGAGGGGGCTTGGTCCGTCCAGTTCTCCAGACCGTCTGCGGCGCGTAAGTAGGCCTTCAGCTTGCAGGGAAACCGCTCGACCATCCCGTTGGCTGCTGGATGGTAGGCCCTAGTGCGGATGCGTGTGCATTCTAGAAAGATGAGGAGAAACTGAATGAGGTCAGATTAAACTGGAGGAAACCACGGTCAGTCGTGATCGTGAAGGATGCACAATAGATGGCAAGCCGAGAAGTGAGAAAAAACCTTGACGAGCGTTGGAGCAGCAATGTCAGGAAGGGGAATAGCTTCAGACCACCGGGTAAATCGACCCACGCAGGTGAGGAGATCGAGACAGCCATCGGACAGAGGCAGGGGCCTACGGTGTCCTGGTTGACATGGCTGAACCGTGCATCCGGAGTGGGGAAGATGCCGATAGGAGCTTTGTTGTACCGTTGGACCTTACTCCGCTGACAGCCAAGACACGCTCGTGTCCATGCTTTCAGGTCTATGTGCATCCCAGGCCGGATGAAGCGAAAATAAACCAGCCTATCGGTAGTTCGACTCCCAGGGTGAGAAAGATTGTGCAGGGAGGAGAGGAATTTGCGGCGGAGTGATGGCAGCACAAAGGGACTGTGGGAATTGGTGGAGGCGTTGCATGGAATGGTTCCGTTGCTAGTTGTCGATGGCAGGTCCTGGAGTTGGAGTACGGAAACATCCTCCTCACAGGGAGATCAATCACGGCGTTCTTCGGCAGCCGTCACAGCTAGGTCGATCCCGGGAGAAAGTTAGAGATGTGCGATGCAGGGCTTGGACGGTGCATTAGCCACCGCATTGCTTGACCCTTCGATGTGGCGGATGTTTGAGGTAAACTGCGAGATGTAGTCCAGTTGGCGAATTTCCTGATGATTGAGCTTGTCAGAAGTGGACTTGGGAGCGAAGGAAAGGAGCTTGTGATCCGTGAGCACAGAAAAGTCTCTGGCATCAAGGAAGTTCCGGAAGTATTTAACGGCGAGGAAGAAAGCAAGGATCTCCCGTTCGAATGTGCTATGGCGCGTCTCGGCAGCTGATAACTTTCTGGTGAAGAAAGCTGAGGGTTGGATGTGACCAGCAATTAGCTGTTGGAGAACAGCGCCTAGTACGACATCGGAGGCGGTAACTATGAGGGAGATGGGAGCATCGGGAGAAAAATGCGTCAGGAGGGTGTCCTCGGCCGGCAAAGCTTTCACCTTGTTTGCAGACAGCTCGAACGAACGTTTGTAGTCCGAGAGGAGGCTCGCCAGCGGCAGGATAGTGTCGGCACAGTGCAGGAGGAATCGACGATAGGAGTTCACAATGCGCAGAAATCGCTGCAGCTGACTTTGGGAAGAGGGAGTCGGGGAAATCACGCATAGTCAGAACCTTCGATGGAAGAGGATGGATGCCGTTGGAGTCAACCAGATGTCCGAGAATTCCTAAGGAGAGCACACTATAGACGGACTTGGACGGGTTGAGAACAACGCCAAATTGTCGGATTAGGTTAAGCACTGTTGCAAGTTGCTCCGTGAATCCGTCGGCAGTAGACTTAGCTATCAACAGGTCGTCGATATAGGAGTGAACAAATGGCAGGCCGCGAAGCACTCTGTCCACGAACCTTTGGACAGTCGGTGGAACGTTGTGGAGTCCAAACGGCATGCGCAGGAACTCAAAGAGGCCAAAGGGGCAGTGACGACCGTCTTCGAAACGTCCTCTGGAGCGATGGAAATTAGGTGGAACTCACGGACCTGGCCAATCTTCGAAAACACCGACTTGACGAATAGGGCACCGGCAAAATCTGAAGATATGGGACAGGGTAGCGGTCTGGGACAGTAACAATATTCAGGGCCTCGTAACCAACGCAGGAGCGTCAGTCACCGGTGGCGAATTTTGGCACGATGTGGAGGGCTGAGGCCCATGGGCTTTCAGACTGATGGATGATGCTCATCTGAAGCACGCGCTCGAACTCGGCATTTGCGGCAGACAGTCGTGCGGGCACGAGACAGCGGGGTCGAGAAATCGCGGGAGGGCCAGTGGTACGGATGCGGTGAACAACGTCGTGTTGTGGAATAGGTGTGCTGAAGTTGGGACGAGTGAGACCGCGGTATTTGGCAAAGAGTTGCCGAAATGGATTTCCGGGTTCAGGACCCAGAGCGGCAAGTTGACGGAAGGCGCCAAAAGAAGAGATACCTCGGAGGGTGAGGTAGGCGGGTCTTGCCGTTTATGTGCTCTGGAAACACTGCGGCAGCACTGACATGATACTGGCGGTCCGTCAACTACGAAAGCGGTGGAAATTTGCGCAGCATCCGTCGTGTGTGAACGTGCCGAGCCTCTGTCGGGATGGTACGGTCAACAACAGGGATTCCCAAATCAGCATGCGGGGAAGACGGCGTAGGTTATACAACGTTTACTGATGAAGAAGTACGTGCACAAGAGGCTTTGCTGGCAGTCAGCGACAGCCGTCGAGGTGGTTTTACCCCAGCGCGTGTGTGCGTCCTTCGTTCAATCTCAGTTTCCGCTGGCCAGTCAAAAAATGGGCCGCGTGGATTGGTTTCACGCAGCTCGCGAGCCTCGCGCCATCCCAGCAGCGAATCGACAGGGAGCGTTTGGCGGTCAGGAGGTCAGCCTGACAAATCGGCGGAGAGGAAGGAGGCGCGAACTACTAGAAGTTAATTACTACTACTGTACACGTAAGTAGAAATGATGACACCGGCAAATTCCCCACTGTGTGCAAGCTGACGGGCTAGCCGCTATCCGAGAAACCTTGGGTTCTTGACATGGGAGGCTGTCAACTGGCGGGATAAATCGGGCCTCGCAGTGAGCACACTGCGTGCTTTTGCGTGGATGTCACGACAACAGTCGCATATCTAGTCAGCAGTGCTAATGGAGGCTTTTAATGCAAAAGTAACGCAACACCTAGTTGACACAGAGTGAGTTGTGCACGTTATCTTTGAGAATACCGCTCCGCTTTCCTATGGAAGGGAACAGCAACGTGGAAGTAGGCTAGACAATTGTAAAATCGCCGGAGGGCCGCAGATATCCGTCAAGAAGTGAATGTAACGATTCCAGGAACGGACAGGCGACATGATATTTTTTTCTATTCCTTATTAAATATCAAGTGGCGTTCAAAATGTTATGCGAACGTAACGCATATGTGCTGTCCTACTGAAGTCCCCTTCTCTCGGGCAAAAGTCTGGCCTACACAAATATACAAGTGTTTACGTGTATTGACAAAACAAAGGGCTAGATCGCAGATGGTAGCCAGGAATGAGGAAGCGGACGGCACCTTAACCTTACTCAAGGCTGTGAAGGTGCGAACGTGCAGAAAGTTTTCAC